TGTGTTTCCTGATCTAAAGCGAGGCCCGTTGGTTTAGGCCAACGTACATCACCAGTCCATTCCTCTGGAGAGGAATAAGTTCATCCTGCAGGCGCAGGATCCCGGGATTTTGCGATCCCACAATCATCATCAATCATCATCACACAGTCACTTGGATTTCAGTTCAGACTGGATTTGGCACTTTTATCCACCTCTCAAGTCCTTCCCAAGGACCTGCGATAGGCAGGTGTTGATGTTTTATGGCAGCGAGGACTTAAACTCCCAGAATTCCCCAGTCAGCCATGTTGAAGGCCTCCCGTCTTAAAAGTTGCCAAGGTTGAGAAACGTTTAATTTATGGGGTTAGAGGTATCGTTGCAGGATATAAGCTGCCTTTTGCAATTAGCTGATAATATTATTATCGTCTATGCAAGGCTTGTGAGCTATACTCAATTCCTGATGCTTATTTCATTCTCTTGCCAAAATATTCCCCATCATCCTCTTCCAGGGTGAATTTCCCAGTTTAGCCCTGGGCTTCCCTAAAGGTCTCCTAACCAAGCGCTACACCGGCCTAACTTTATTTGGCTTTTGGATATCAACCAGGAATTGCCACCAGCTGCGGTACGAGAAGAGATCCGCACAGCGGCCTCGTCTCATCATTAACGATGGTGTCCACTAATCCATTTTGTTCTGAACTCCCAAAAACGAAGCAAAATAAAGGGCCTTCCGCCACAGCTTCAACGGCCTCGGTTTCCCAGAAGCCCTTTGCGCCGCCCTACGGCTAACGCAGAGGACTACATTTCCCAAGAACCACCGCGGCGGCCAACGCTGCAGTCGGCAGCCGGCGGCTGAGGGAGGAAGGGCCTAGCGGCCGGGCTGCCATGGCGGCCTCCTGCGCGGAGATTTTGCGGAGGGAATTCCCGGAACTCGACGGAGAGATGTTCGAATATGTGACCGGTGGGTGAGGCTGAGGCGGCGAAGGATTAGGCCTCTGGGGTCGGCTTAGGCCTCGGTTCCCCGTTCCCAGGGTGGCTGTTCCGGCTTCTGAAGAGGCTTCGTTAGGCTGCGAGGGCGGCGGAGCCTCCTCAGGGCAACTGGAAGGGAAGGAGGGACCGCTCGAACATCGCACGATGGGGCTCGGAGGATCACGAGATTTCTGGATCTCTTCCCCCCCCCTCCCCAGTACATTGGTATCTCCTGCCTGTATTCTGGCCCTTGTGGTCAGCGGGTCCCTGGACTAGTCCATGCCTAGAAAAGGGGGGGCGCCTTTTGCCAGGGGACATGCTTGGTGTCCAGATTAACGAAGATTTGCGCTTTCCAGTACAGGTAGTCCCCGGCTTACGACCGCAATTGAGCCCCAGATTTCTGTTGTTAAGTGAAGCAATTGTTAAGTGCCCCATTTTTCGACCTTTCTTGCCATGGTTGTTAAGTGAATCACTGCAGTTAATTACATTAAGAACACGGTTGTTAAGTGAATCTGATTTCCCCCATTGACTGCTTGTTGGAAGGTCGCAAAAGGGGATCACATGACCCCAGGACGCTGCAAGCGTCACAAATAAGAGTCGGTTGCCAAATTTTGATCACGTGACCATGGGGATGCTGCAACGGGTGGTAAATGTGAAAAATGGTCATAAGTCACTTTTTTCCAGTGCTGTTGTAACTTCGGATGGTCACTAAACGAACTGCAGTAAGTTGAGGACTAGCAGTATGTAAGGCTGGTTTGGAAGCCCTAAATTGGGCAAAGAGGAGACGGTGAAAGCTCTGTCCATGCTCTAATCCTGGTCAAAGCACCTTCCTGTTGAGTTCAACTGCTGGCAACTTCTTGCATCCCTTCCTGAGATTTCCTAGTGGTCTCCCATTCAAAGAGTCTTAAGAAATTCCCATTCCTGGGGCATTTTTTCCAACTTTAGGAGTATGGGGTGAAATTCAGAGCTTGAGGAAAAAGGGGTGAATCTCAGGGCCTAAAAACTCAAATTTAGATGAGTTGATGCACCAACTTATAAGTCCGTCTTATTTATAGACTTTCCATACCTAAAAAGCAGCCTTTCTCAGCCTTACAACTTTAAGATATGTGGACTTCAACTCCTGGAATTTCCCCAGCTAGCTAGGCTGGGGAATAAAGTCCACATATCTTGCCAAGGTTGAGAAACACTGATAGAAAGCAGCATTCTCTAGGGGTTTTTTTTTGTTTAACGTTCTGGAGTTTGGGTGGACTCAACCCCTCCCACCCACCCCCACACCCCTGAGAAGAAAGCAATATCAAACCATTTCACATTTACTTAAAAAAAAATAGAGATGTCCAGGTGGTCTAGGCCAGGGGTAGGCAAGCTTGGCTCTTTTATGACTCGTGGACTTCAACTCCCAGAATTCCTGAGCCAGCCATGCTGAGGGGAAAGGGAGAG